TGCCCGGAGCCCCTGCCCGATGCCTGGGGGTCTCTGTGGCAGAGTTCTGGGGTCTCCTCGGGGTGCCGCCCGGGCCGCTCGCCCGCACGATACCGGCCCCGGCCAGGTAGTTACCAGGAGCCGACGGGGGAGGGGAGCGCGGGGGGGCGATCGGTCCGTGCGCGCTCGGTCGCGGCTCCTCCCCGTCTGCTCCGGATCCATCGCTTGGCCCGCGCCCCTCCTCCCTTCTTCCCGGGAAGGGGCTGCGGGAGAGCGGCCGGGATGGGTCTGCACCCGCCCCGGGACAGGCTGTGCTGGGTCCTGCGGTCTGAGGGCATCGGACCTCGCGTGTGAGGACGGGAGCGGGGCGGAGAGGATGGTTGGGAGGGCGTCGCGGAGGAGGCGCCCTTTGAGTTGAACTTTGAAGAACCCGGGTTTCGCTAGGGGCGAGCCTGAGTGTGTGCGCGGACAGAGGCTGGCACAGGGCGCCCCTGGGCAGAGGCCTGGAGGTTACGTGCAGGGCAGCTCCAGGAGACAGGCTTGGGCCAGGGCCAGGGTAGGTGGTGAAGCCGGAGGTGATGGGCAGGAGCCACGGAGGGTTTACAGGAAGGAGAGGCTGGGTGTCTGGAAATGGAGTGGGGTGAGCCCCGAGATCCGGGGCCGCGGGTAGGCTTTGTGCAGGAGGTGAGCACTGGGCTGCGAGGCTGGTTGTGTTGCCAAGTGGCACCTGTGACAGGGTGTGTGCAGGCTCCGTCCGGGCAGGCTCGCTGGCCTGGCACAGTCATCTGCATCTCTGTTGGGTCCCAGGCATCAGCTAACTGTCCTCTCAGACCTTAGTTGGGGCGCAGGGAGACGGAGGGTCCTCTGGGTCCTGGGTAGAGCTGGCCAGAGCTGCTGGCCGCCTGGAGTGTGCGCCTCCACCTTTGCCCTGGACCCTGGACCGCGTCCCCAATGGCATTTGCCATCCCCCACCCTGCCACGTGCAGAGCCACAAGCCAAAGCAACTTCCCTTCCCTGACACCCCTCAACCCCCCTCCCACTGACTGGACGCACATCCTGTCCCTGGCCAGATGGGCAGGCTCGGGGCCTTGAGTCACCGTGGCCTGGGGTCAGACCCAGGCTCAGCCACAGAGGCTGCGGAGGTGGTGGAGGTGAGCGCGAGCCCAGGAGGGCAGGGGGTGTCCGCGGGTGGACCTTTGGGCCGGGGTGGGGGCAGAAGGCCTCCTGGAGGAGGGGCCAGGCCTGCCCACCAGTGCTCCCCGGAGGGAGCCTTTGTTTACGGGGAGTGAGGGGAGGAGTCCCGCCCTGATCCGCACGGAGCCAAGTGGACATTCCTGGGATTCTGAGCGCCGGATGTAGATTTGGGGGCGGTGGCAGCATCCTCTTCCCAAACTTCCTCCCTCCAGCGCCCCGATTTACCAGCAGAGGCCATGGGGAGCAGAGTGGCTGCCCGTCCCAGCCCGTGCGCAGGGCCCCAGCTCGGGTGCGCAGAGGCCCCTTGGGGCACTTGGGGTTCTGAGTCCTCCCAGCTCAACTCTGCCCAGGCTGGACCACAGGAGCCGGGGAGCCTCCGAGGTCAGCCCTGCCCGCCCCACCCCCCCGGGCCCTGAGTGGCGGGCTCTGAGTGAGG